GTATTTGAGAAAATAGTGAAAATATCATTTGAAATTCACTTTGAAGACTTTTTCAGGTAGAATAGGTATAAGAATAGTTATTTGTATATTATTTTTGAACATACTGAAATAATTTTTAAAGTGAAACTTCTTTGTTGAGGAAGTGACAATTTTCGAGCGTTACGAAAATTCCGATCGCGTAAGGGGAGTCAGCAATGACCGGAGATACGCCACGCTTGATTATGGTAAACGGTAGGAGGGGAAATGGATGCGTAGTGTAGTATGCTTGTGATGTATACTTCTTAACATGATTGTTTCAACTTTTTGTCAAATTCAATAAATAATTTTGTGTAAATTATAATTGAATATATTACGCTTTATTCGTTTTGTTCAATCATTATTTTTATATAATACCAGCATCCTTACTATTCTAATCGTTATCTCGTGTTTAAAATAAATACTAAAAAATTATTCTGATTGTTGAGGAAAAAGTTTCCCTTCTATCGTGCGTTACGTCACGCACAAACAATTTTTTGTAACTTTTATCTAAAGATTTTCAAGTTATGCATAGTTACATTCTCTATTGCGTCTTCCGTTGACCTTCCTTGTCTAAAACTATAGATACTGTGGTTCACCAAAAATATTCTGATTTTCTAGAAAAATTGTTAGATAAAGGACGGTAGTTAAGGCTTGTTTACACGAGTCAAGTAAATTGCCTCAGCACTTGTCTGATTATGTTCTACTTGACTTGACTCACCGACAGGACAAGCATATGCGTTTCCACGTGTAGTTCATTAGGAATTCAACATGACGGAACATCGCATTGTGGTGTGGTGCGAAGTTGTCTAATCAATTAAAAAAAAATCTTCTGGAAGAATTCGAAGAAGTTTTTGAGAGAAATCCCGAGGAAAGGATATGGTGTCGGAAATGACTTAGGTTTCTCGAAGGAGAGTTCAACAATTTGATAAGAAAATTGAGGTTTGAAGATACTCAAGTTTACAGGATGATGCTCAGAATGACTTCTGAGAAATTTCACTATTTGTTAGGTAGAATAAATAGCTCCACGCTCCACTTAAGCGAATTTTACACAGGTCAAGTAAACGGTCATGTAGAGTGGTAAAGTCAAGTATTTTTTTCACTTACATCGTGTAAATAGTTCCGGTCAAGTCAAGTAACGACTTGCATCAGGTAGTAAAGCAAGGCAAGTGAGTTTGCACAGTGGACAAGAAGCTTGACTTGACTGTCACCACCACTACCACTTTTATCACTTGCTCCTACTTGACCGTTTATTTTACCTTTACCAATATAAACAAATGAGTCAAGTTAAGCGGATCAAGTACACAATGCGATTTTCCGCTATGTTGAATCGACTTGCGCCCCCACTGAACTTGTTGGTGAGTCAAGTCAAGTAAAACATATAACCAGGCAAGTGCGAAGGCGAGTTACTTGATCCGCAACTTGACTCGTGTAAACAAACATTTTTATTCAACACACAAATAAAATTCAAGCGTAAAGATGCATGATCCAAAACAACCAAACTTTTTTTACTTGCCCCATTTAAGACTCATTTGTTTACATTGGTAAAATAAACGGTCAAGTAGAAATAGTAGAAGAGCAAGTGATGAAAATCGTAGTGGGGATGACAGTCAAGTCAAGCTACTTGTCCACCGTGCAAATTCACTTGCCTTGCTTCACTACTTGACGCAAAACGTTACTTGACTTAACCAGAATTATTTACACGATGCAAGTAAAAAAATTTACTTGACTTCACCACTCTACATGCTACATGACTGTTTACTTGACACGTGTAAGCCCCGGTTTAAAGTGGTTTGTTTTGTCCCCACACTTATGGCCGTTTAAACCCACCATTTTAAGAGAGGCTTAACGATCATCAACGCTTAAAGTGACATTTTTAATAAGGAGTCTAATTTCCTCGCTATTTTTTTCAAAATTTTGTTTGTGTTTTGTGGAGTAAAGCCAAATATAAAATGTGTTTTTACGTAATTTTCGTTCAAGTTGCATACACCGTTCACTTAGTTCTTTGTATGCAGGCACGTATTCAGGATTTCGTTTCCGGGAGGGTCCAGAGTCCAGATCCTGAGTGTGTGTGTATATAAAAAAAAACTAAATTAGGGAAAATTGCATTTTAATAATAAAAAGTGAAAAACGCAGACCCATTTATTAAACTATTCTAGTTTTTTTTTATTCGCCATAATAATTATAATTGAGTCGACAATAACATCTATGTCCCAGTGAATCGAGAGTACAGCTAAGAAGCTCAATCTCTCGTGTTGCATTTTATTTCGGAGGACAGTCTTAACCATTTTCATAGTAGAAAACAACTTCTCAATCGTAGCAGAAATCACTGGTAGGGCGGATAAAATGGTCAGTAAATTATGGATGATTGGGAACAAGTTTTTGTTGCATATTTCCAGGACTCTGAGTGTTTCGAGGTTTGTTCCTTAAGAAACTTGAACTTGATTGCATCATTATATATTTAGTAATAACCTTGAAGATCAAGCATTGAATATTACGGATAAGGATTGAAGCTGAGTTGCTTTATCCGGCGAAGCAAGCCCTGGAGATGCTGACAACACTGTCGCTGGAATCTCGAAGCGGTCCTGCATATTAACTATAAGCTGTTTGACGCATTGTAAAAAAATAACGACTATTCTTTTGTACAAACTTAGAGGCGGACTATTTAACCTAAACAGATGACAAGCCAAGACGAAAGTATCGACGACATCAATAATATAATTGAAATTCAATATGTGGATGATAACGTTGTGATGGCCAATACAGACGAAGATCTTCGGAAAATTATCGATGCATTCAACCAGGCACCAGGCACACAGGAGAATCAAGAATCGGCGTAGATTCTGCACCAACCCGCACCGGGCACTTATTCCCAAGCCCCAAATATTACTATAAATCACTAATTTTTGCAGAACGTAGAACACTCACCCATACCTTAGGAGCCATTTGTCAGCGAAGGCAACTATTGACGCTGAGACATCAGCGTTGAGACCAAATTACGCGTCTGCAACACAGTTGTCAGTTGTAATACAAACAGTTATATATTGCGGCGAAACATGGATCACTCACAGCTTCTTGTTTCCAGTTAAGTCTGCTCTCATTGAGGCGAATGTTTCTCAGCTTTGGGAGTTTCGTTCTTTTTGTAAATGTTACCAGTGTAGTGTTCGCTGAGTTTAGATTCAGCCTCACTGTCTGACACCATTCCTTTGTGGTTCGAAGTGCTTTTTCTATAAGGTTGTAGTATTCCTTCGTGTTTGTCTCTGGCCATGATGACAATATCATCTGCGTATTCAAAGCAGGTGAAGTCCTGACCGCTCAGTGTATTTAGATCATCAACCACCAGACTCCACATCAAAGGTGAGGGTACCTCTCCTTGTGGACATCACATGTGGACATCCTCTAGTTGTGGTGACTTGTATGGTTTGTTCATCCACGTTAGTTTCTGCAGTTCTGGTGGCTAGCATTTCACACATCCAGGTGGATGTGGTTTTGTCTACACCTTTTTCGACGAGCGCATTCTTTCAAAGGTGTTATCAAATGCCCTCTCTATATGTCTGAGAAGGCGCAGATGGCTACTTCTTTATTCTGCAATGTGTTTTGGGTGCTGCCAGTGAGTTCAAATAAAGAGGTTTTTGTTGATCTGCCCGCTCTGTAAGCATGTTGCCCAGGATAAAGCGTCGCCTTTTCTTGAACACTTTTTTTGATGTAGTTATTTAGAACTTGAATGTTACTTTAGCTCTTCTCCATTGACTGATGGGTATGTATCCGGTCGCTAAGCTGTATCTGATGAGTTTGATTAGATACTGCATGGTTTCATTTTGCCCTTTTTGCAACAGGGATTGGAAAAATGCCGTTTACTCCAGGTGACTTGAACGATTGAAACGAGTCAATTGCTCAAGTAAGCTGCCGAGGAGTGCAAAGGTTCTTGGGAACCTCCCAGTTTTCTTGCTCCTGGGCATTCCTTTGTTTTCTTCAGTATCATTCCTGGAAAGTGAGTTTCCAGTAGTAGAACAGCTCGTTGCTCTCCATTTTCTGTGTAACTACCGCCTGGTTTCTTAAGTGTCAATGGTCCTTCCGCCCTGCCTTTTGCCAGTTTTGTATAGTTTGACTTGCTGATGGTGTTTCTGTGATAGATTCACAGAAGTCTCTGAAGTTTTTTCGTTTGGCCTTCCTTATTTCTTTACTGTACTCAGTCAGCCTTTCGGTGTAACCCTGCCATTCTCCGTCTCGTTTGGTTTTGTTGAGAAGCCCACGAACCTCGGATCGTGACAGGTGACCATGAGCAACCATTTTTATTTACTTGTTCTTTTACTAAGTATGTTGTTTTGAAATCTTTCCAGGGTATGTGTTTGTACGAAGGACCAGTAAAAAAGCCTGCTTGTGGTTCACTGGGTTGGATAAGAAATAAAACACATTTGGTTGAAACCTTAAATCTAATGAAACTGGTTATTAATATCCACTTCCATGGTTTGAATATTAAGCGGTAGGTACCTATTCTAATCTAATTACTATTATTAATCATTAACAAAAAACTAGGTTATTATTGCGCGGGAGATGACAGGGCAGTGTGTGTTTCCCTCCAAAAGCAGATATTCTAACCTTTCTTTTTTATGAAATTGGGAACGTAGCTAAAAGCCGTTATGGTCGCGTGATCGGTGCATAACAATGTAAACTCTGTCTTTTCCGCAGCTTCGACTGAACCGACCGCCCTATGATGATTAGGTGTTGTGTTAAGGATTAGGATTGACAATTAAATAATTGTTTAAACAAAATCAAGGAGCATTTATTAGGTTAACTTACTTGAAAACAAAGAATAAAAGAAGAGCAAATACAAATCAAAGTAGCAGCAACATTGCAAACCTAACGTATAAAGTAAATGTAAATAAACAAAACAAATCAAAACTATTTAAACATTAGATTCCTCCTCACCTTTAGATATTAACTAACAATAAACACAAGTAATTTTAGAACTCACTGGAGACACACTAGTCACTTATGTCAATATCACTTTGGTATTCTTGTAGGTACTGAGGCCTTTTCTGTTGTCGTCGAGGTCGAACACTGGCTGGGACTGGCACTTGAGTCTCTGCACTTTCTGCATCGGATAAGCTGAAGTTCTCTGCTAAGGCATCTGCATCTGAAATCTCAGGGGGTTCGTTTGCTGCATCCAGTATCTTAGACTCTGGATCGGACAGGTTATTCTCTACATCGGATCTTTCAAGTTCTAGATCAGACATCTCAAGTTGGGGTTGTAACATCTCAGGATTCTCCATACTAACTGGTGTTAGTGGATCTGGTAATACGTCCGGAAGTTGTCCAGGAGAACTTTTTAGGTTTATTTTCCATTGGATGTATCTTTTAGGATATGTATGTGTAGGATTTGTTTTGCAAATTTGGTTTGTAAGGCTATTTGACTGGGGTTGAATGCTTTGGTTTAGTAGGGAAAAATACTTTAAAAAATGAAGAATTTCTACTTATTATTCTTCCCTCTCTCTCAGCTACGATTTGTGAGCCGTTGATAGTTTTGATAGTGAACGGATTGGGACCAAAAAATGGAGTTAAGGAGTTTTGTTTTGGGTGTCTACACTACACCAGGTCACCAACTTGAAAATTATGTATTTTTGTATGTCGTTTTAAATTGGCATATTCTTATTGTTTTTCTTTGTTCCTTTGGTCTGCCTCTTCAATTTCTAATTTTGCACATTTTAAGGACTTTTTCACGGTCTTCACAAATCTTTCAGCCATGCCATTTGCTTCCGGCCAATATGGTGTGATTTTCCTATGTTGGATTCCATAGCTTGATAAAAAGTTTTGAAAATCGTAACCATTAAACGGTGGTCCATTATTTGATTTTAGAGCTGTAGGAATGCCAAACATGGCAGGATTTTTATCTAAAACTGGTTTTAAGTATTTAAAACTTATAGATTGTACAATTTCCACAAATGGATAGCGAGATTAGGTACTCATCTACTAAAATAAAAACAAACCTTTTTCTGCAAAAAGGACCTGCATAATCTACATCTACTTGTTGAAATGGATACTCAGGCAGTGGCGTGGAAACAATAGGATCTCTGTTCCTTGTTGGTGTTATATCATGACACGATTTACATGATTTGACTTGTTTTCTGTCATTGTGTCTATACCTGGGAACCAAACTTTGGTACACAGAAGCTGTTTTGTTCTAACCACTCCGGAATATCTCTTGGTTGTGAGCCAATTCAATTGCAAATGTTGGTAGTGATTTAGGTAGCGTTAGGACAATTCGGGAGCCTCTCAGGACAATGCTGTTTCTATTTAGGAATGAACATTGTGTCAGTAAAGTTAATGTACTGTCTTTTAAAGTTTCTTTTTGTAGGTACTTGTTTGATTAAAAATAAATTGATTATTGCTTATTGCAGACAGTAGGAAATAAAAAAAAAATCAATGTGTGTTTTTTTACGATTACTAGTACGATTATTCCGGAAGTTATACAAATATTAAGTTTTGTATATACAGGGTGTCCCAGCCGAGAGTGACCCATTTTAAATGCTTATAACTTTTAAACCAGGTGAGCTAGCTACCTGCGGTTTGTGCCATTCGATTTCTCTTGGTCTAAAGTTTTTTCTAGTAGTTTTCAAATTTTTCAAAAACTTATACAGGGCGAGTAAAAAAAAATCCGTTTTTCAACATCGAAATTCTCCACTATTTTTAATGGAACACCCTGTATATCGCAACGTCAAAAAATAGATTCATGTTTAAGCAGGGCCCCCGCTACCATAAGCGCAAAGGCGTGCGGCGCACGCGGGCGTCAAAGCCAAGGAGCGGCAAATCGCACGAGATATTTAATAATTAATATTTAATAATTAAAATGTTTTCCTAAGTGTTTCAATTATTTTCCTTTTTATCCAAAGGCCAGACACCTGATTCTCGAAACGCCCAGCGCTCGTCTGGGAACAATAATAAGTGTCCTGTCCTTCTCAGTTCCATGTAAAATTTTATATGAGTGACAAAGACTGAAAATTAATAGAACCCTGCCCTGGGCTCCGTCAAGTTAGCCCCCCACATTCGAATTTTCTAAAAAAATTGCAACCACTTACTGTGCTCGAAGTGTGCTTTACTGTGCCGATGATATTTTGAACTGTGCCGTTTCGATAACAAAGTTATAGCAAAAAATAGATGAGGGGCTAACTTGACGCTCAGCCCCCCCAAAATTTTGGAAATCAGATGAAACCAAAAAGGATTCTTATCCAATCTGAAGTGTGCTGAACTGTGCCGTATCAGGTTTTTCTCAAAATTTCCATATTCGGTCATTTTCCGACAAAATTCTACTGGGGGGCTATCTTGACGCTCAGCCCCCCCAAAATTTTGGAAATCAGATTAAACAGAATTGAATTCTTATCTAATCTACAGTGTGCTGAACTGTGCTGTATCAAGTTTTTCTCAAAATTTACATATTCGGTCATTTTCCGACAAAATCCTACTGGGGGACTAACTTGACGCTCAGCCCCCCCAAAATGTTGGCAATCAGATTAAACAAAATTGAATTCTTATTCAATCTGAAGTATGCTGAACTGTGCTGAATCAGGTTTTTCCGAAAATTTCCATATTCGGTCATTTTCCGACAAAATCCTACTGGGGGGCTAACTTTTTGACTCTCAACCCCCCCAAAATTTTGGAAATCAGATTAAACAGAATTGAATTCTTATCCAATCTACAGTGTGCTGAACTGTGCTGTATCAGGTTTTTCTCAAAATTTCCATATTCGGTCATTTTCCGACAAAATCCTACTGGGGGGCTAACTTGACGCTCAGCCCCCCCCAAAATTCGAAGATCAGTTTGCACAAAATCTGGAGTGTGCTGAACTGTGCTGTACCAGGTTTTTCTCGAAATTTCCATACTCGGTCATTTTCCGACAAAAAACTAAGAGGGAGCTAAGTTGATGCCAAATTTTAGAAATCAGATCAAAGAAAAACGGACTCTTATTCTTATTAAATCTGAAGTGAGCTGAATTGTGCCTGATCAGGTTATTACAAGTTTCCATGTTTGACCATTTCCCGATATAAACCTAATGGATGGTATGTATGTAAATTTTCAGAGCTGAACGTCAAGTTAGCTAGTAGGATTTTGTCGGAAAATAACCGAATAAGTATGTAAATTTTGAGAAAACCTGATACAGCAGAGTTCAGTACACTTCAGATTGGATAAGAATACAATTTTGTTCAAACTGATTTTCGAAATTTTTGGGGGGCTGAGCGTCAAGTTACCTCTCCAGTAGGATTTTGTCGGAAAATGACCGAATATGGAAATTTTGAGAAAAGCCTGATACAGCACAGTTCAGCACACTTCAGATTGGAAAAGAATTCAATTTTGTTTGATCTGATTTTCAAAATTTTGGGGGGTTGAGCTTTAAATTGGCTCCCCGCTCCCCAATATGATTATTTTGTCGGAAAATAACCGAATATGAAAATTTTGAGAAAAACCTGATTCAGCACAGTTCAGCACACTTCAGATTGGATAAGAATTCAATTTTGTTCAATCCGATTTCCAAAATTTTGGGGGGGCTGAGCGTCATGTTAGCCCCCCATTAGGATTTTGTCGGAAAATGACCGATGATGGAAATTTTGAGAAAAACCTGATTCAGCACAGTTCAGCACACTTCAGATTGGATAAGAATTCAATTTTGTTCAATCTGATTTCCAAAATTTTGGGGGGGCTGAGCGTCAAGATAGCCCCCCAGTAGAATTTTGTCGGAAAATGACCGAATATGGAAATTTTGAGAAAAACCTGATACGGCACAGTTCAGCACACTTCAGATTGGATAAGAATCCTTTTTGGTTTCATCTGATTTCCAAAATTTTGGGGGGGCTGAGCGTCAAGTTAGCCCCTCATCTATTTTTTCCTATAACTTTGTTATCGAAACGGCACAGTTCAAAATATCATCGGCACATTAAAGCACACTTCGAGCACAGTAAGTGGTTGCAATTTTTTTAGAAAATTCAAATGTGGGGGGCTAACTTGACGCAGCTCCCTGCCCTGCGCCCTCGAGCGTATCGAGCGAGAATAAGGCTGCAGGTCTTAGCTTTGTACAGCCAATGGGCCAATTTTCCTGTACTTAAAGTTTTCCCGAGGGGGAAGTCACCCATAAAATTTTGTATACTGAAATTCCTCTGAATCGAACTTTCCTGAAATTCCGTGCAATTCCTTACAATCCCTTGCAATTCCTCGCAATTTCCTCCAGTTGCTTCCAATTCCTCGCAATTCTTGGACAAATAATTTTATGTTTGAATAACCTTTTTGCAATTAAATATAGGTTAATATGTTTAAATTATTTAATTATTGTAATTCTGTTGGAAAGTACAATGTACGTCAGGTCGATTATCAATTATTGGGTACTCACATTAAAACAAAATAAATTTTAAACTATAACATTCGATTTTGTAAGCAAATGTTGATCCTTCGACTTCTGTCCAATAAGAATATTCATGTGGTTAACTGTTGCTTCAAACTTGCCCATGGGTAGCTTTATTCTGGATTTAATTTTGTTTCTATATCTGTATAGTGTTGATAGGGATGGTAGAATATTGTTCATGTTATTGTGTAAGGTTTCATAAAATAGTTTGCCTCCTGAGTAAAACAAATACAAAGCAAATTTCTTGAAATTATCGTCATATACAGGGTGTCCACTTAGTGCGATATCGGACGATATCTCCTTAGAGGGTGATGCAAGAAAAAAAAATTAAATTACAAAGTTGTTTGATACTCTAATACGCATTAGCAAAATATATTTGAATACAGGTGAGTTAGTGAGCGCGCGGTGGTCCATATCTCCTATACTAACGGAGATCGAAGAAAAAACTGAATACAAAACTTGTAAATAAATATGAGTACTACATTCCTAAATTATTTGCCAGTATACAGGGTGGCCCAATAAGTAGTGGTTACACAAAGCTATGTTTTTTTAAATGGCTCTCCCTGTTTATTATGGCATTTCTGGATTCTGCGGAAAATTCTAGACATATTTCATGTACAATGCCATATACCTATCTTCAACCGTTTCGGAAATATTGACAGTTGAAAATTGACTATTTTGCATTTTTGACAGACTGCAAAACCTGAACGGTCAATTTTACAGCAAAACCGATCATACATTCTTTTTCATAAACTATCATTTGACACCAACTTTGAATTTAATCAATGATTAAAAAATCCGCTTAAATTATTAATCTCCGGTTAAATTCAAAGTTGGTGTCAAATGATAGCTTATGAAAATCTAAGCTATAGGAATGTAAAATCGATTTTCCTCTAAAATTAACCGTTTAGGTTTAACAACCTGTCAAAATTGCAAAAAGTTAATTTTCAATTGTCAATATTTCCGAAACAGTTGAATCACCACTTCTTGTTGGGCCACCCTGTATACTGGAAAATAATTTAGGAA